CATAAAACCAGATACACTGAAATCTAATAGTAGAGAAAGGGGGAAATAGCCTTGAATGCCTTAGCACATGGGAAATTTCCCTGAACACATCACCAATGATCAGGATATAAGTTCAATAATTGATAAATAGGACCTCAAGAAACTGAAAAGCTTCTGTAAAGCAAAGGACATGGACAATGGGACAAAACAGCAACCTACAGATTGACAAAAGATCTTCACTAACTCTTCATCTGATAAAGGACTAATATCCATAAATATACAAAGAACTCAGGAAGTTAAACTCCAGAAAACCAAGTAACCCAATTAAAAGATGAGCTACAGAGCTAAATAGAGAATTCTCAACAGAGGAATATCCAGTGGGAGAGAAGCACTTAAGGAAATATTTCACATCCTTAGTCATCATAGAAATGCAAATCAAACCAAATTTGAGATTCTATCTTACATCAATCACAATGTTTAAGATCAAAACTCAGGTGACAGCAGATTTTGGTGAGGATGTGGAGAAAGAGGAACACTCCTTCTGGTGAGGTTGCAAACTGGTACAGCCACTCTGGAATTCAAGCTGGTAGTTCCTCAAAAAGTTGCAAATATTTCTAACAGAAGACTCATCTATACCACTCCTAGGTAAATACCCAACATACCACAAGGATACATGCTCCACTATTTACACAGACTCAGTATGTGTTATAGCCAGAAGCTGGATACAACACAGATGTCCCGCAAAGGAAGAATGGATACAGAAAATTTGGCTCATTTGCATAAAGGAATACTACTCAGCTATTAAAAGAGAGGACATCATGAATTTTGCAGACAACTGGAAAGACCTAGAAAGTATCATCCTGAGTGAGGTAACCTAGACTCAAAGAACATACATTTTATGTATTCACTGATAAGTGAATATTAGCCAAAAAGTTCAGAATACCCATGACACAACTCACAGACTATAAAGCTTTACAAGAAGGCCCAAGTGTGGATGCATCAATCCCATGTAGAAGGGAGAACAAAATAATCATAGGAGGCAAAGTGAGAGAGGGATTTGCAGAGAGAGGGAATTGGGAGTAGCAAAGACAGGAAAGAAGCCCAGAGGGCCAAGACAATGAATAGAATTATGCAGCCGTGTGGTGTTGGGGGCTGGGAAAACCGTAGAAAGTTCCAGTCACCAGGGATACGATAAGCTCCCAGGACCCAATAAGGATGTCCATGTTGAAATGTCCAACAGAGACAACCTGAATAGACTGCCCCCAGTAGAGAAACATGGCCCCCAGTTGAGTGATGGGACCACCCATACATCTCAAAATTTTTGACCAAGAATTGTTCCTGTCTAAATGAAATGCAGGGACAAAAATGGAGCAGAGATTGAAGGAAAGGCCATCCAGAAACGGTCCCCGCTTAGGATTCATCCCATGTGTAGGTTCCAAGCCCTGACACTACTGCTGATGCCATGTTGTGTTCAAAGACAGGAGCCTGACATGACTGTTATCTGAAAGGCTCTAAAAACACCTGACTGAGACAGATACAGATACTTACAGCCAACCATAGAACCAAACTCAGGGACCATTATGGAATAGATAGGGGAAAGACTGAAGAACTGAAGAGGATTGAAACCTCATAGGAAGAGCAACAGTATCAACTAAGTGTACATCTCAGAGCTCCCAGGGACTGAATCACCAACCAAAGAGAGTACATGGGCTGGTCCTGTGGCCCCAGTTACACATATATCAGAATATTGCCTTTCTGATCTCAGTGAGAGGTGATGTGCTTGTTACTGTGGAGGGTTGAGTCCCCAGAGAATGGGGATGAGAGAGGGATGAGGTAGGATTGGGTGCATAGGTTGGGGAACACTCTCTTGGAGGTGAAGTGGAGGGAGTGTGGGAGCCTTGTAGAAGAAAGACTAGCAAAGGAGATAACATATGAAATATAAATAAATAAAATCATTAATAAAAAGTAAAAAAAACAAATAAATAAAAGTAAAAGGGCAAAAAAGGGAACCATGTTTCATCCTTAGGAAATATATATGTGAAAGTGTGCGTTCACACATGTGGATGCATTCAAAATCCAAAATATATGAATATAATCTTCTCAGTCAATATCAATATAATGTTAGTGATATATATATATGTGTTTGTGTGTGTGTGGTGTGTGTGTATTATATATTATATTGGAGATTATATATATATTGAATAACTTGGGATTTATTCCCTGAGGAAAACATTTTTTTTCCTGCTCTCAGTATTTCTTTCTTGACTCTTACTCAATGTCTAGTGTTGAGATACCATTAACAGACCTTCCTTCCATGTTAGCAACTTATGGATGTCATCCTTGTTCATATCTTGTTAAGCATGAATGTTAATGAAGCTTCAAGATATAGCTTCTCTGACTTTTCTAGGAGGAAATCTCCCAGCAAACTTCTTCCTTCTCTTGCTTTTAAAAACTTTTCGTTTCCTCTACATCTATGAGGCCTGTATCTTAGGAAAAGGCATGTTGTAATTGATGTATGAGTTGAGACTTGGCACCACACATTTTCTTATTCTCTGATATTTATTGGACTATTTTTTTCTGTAATGATTTCTATCTTTAGCAAGTAGATTGATGAGTGAGACCTACTTTAACAGTGGGTATAAAGATTAATATTTAGAATGTAGTAAAGAAACGTATTGTTTTAGAAAAGTGAAAGATGTAGGTCCTTCTCCAACATCCTTGATCTCATTATACAGGCCTAGGTAGTTTATTAGGTTTTCAGTGGGAAGGATAATTTCCTGTTCATTGAGGTAATTAAGTACAATTAGACAACTGTCAGTTATTGTAAAAATATGCATGTTAGTATTGTGGTTTTTTGGTATATAGTGCTATGATGGGTCACTGCTTTAGTTCATGGGCATAGAAGCAAGGAAGAATTTCTGAGTGCTTCCCTCTATTGAAGGCATCTATGGAGCTCTCTGATACCATGAAATCTAGTTGTCAAGCAGGAGGCTTTCAGGTCAGTTCCAGCTCAAGTCCTCAAGATCACATGTTCAAAGTCATAGTGTCTTCAGCAATAGGGATTCACTCCAACTTCTAGGTGGCACTGAAGACAAGAGTCAAAACTTACATTATTTTAGGAGTCTCTTAGACAACCCTGACCCACCACACAAAGGGAGATTTGTCAAGACTTTTATTGGTGTCTTTGTCAGATAGTCAGTTAGCTACTGTGGGAAGTATTGTTAGCCCAGATAGGAAGGCTTTACTTTAACTACATAAATATATATTAAATAGTTAGTATTATGATTTTCTATAACTTTTAAATTATGAATGGTAGAAGTTCTTCATTCAGTTTAATTAACTGTATACAATTCATTTACTCTAAACAAATGTAACCTTCTGTCATTTGTTCACATAACTATAGTAATATTTCTTTAACTTTATACTCTGAAAATTCTAAAACTATAAAATAAATGAAACCTTAGAAAAAGAGTTAAAAGAAAAATTGAAAACTAACTGAAACCCTCTATTCGATGTAGTTTGTTTTTGTATCATCACTGAAAATAGTACGATAGTCTAAAGAAAATTTACATAAATACTCATGACAGAATCAAATACATGCTTATTGTATTCACACTGCAAGTTCTCTATAAATAAAATTTTGTCAAGGTTCGACTTTACCTTTCACCACTAGTGAAGCTCTATCTCCCATATCACATGATATACAGCACTTACTCTCTCCAGGCCATCAAAGACATCACATGGCAAGTAAAGTACAGCCATTCCCAGTACTCCGAACCAAGAATCAATTTGTACTGCTATATAAATGATTTGATTGTTTGCTTTTAATATATTCTGTCTCTAAAATAAATAAAATAAAATACTTTGACACTATCATTCCCACTTTTTAAAACTGTAATCACAATCACTAAAAAAACATTATCTGTGTCTCTCATTTTAATTTTATCTAATAAAAATGACACCTGGTTTCAAACTTAGCCCATGTGAAATATATAAGATACTAACATTTTAACTGATGGCTAAAAATTCAGGTAATCATGGTACATATTCTATCCTTTTCAGGAGGTGGGTATATTGAAAACATTTGCTTAATAATTTGAAATTTAAATTTATTTCAATTGTATTTATTTCATTATTCTTTTAAAAACAAAATATTTGTGGACACTGTTCCTAGTTCTAAACCTGATAAAGCGTGTAGAATTCATCTATCAATATAATATAATCTAAAATAATGTCTTAACATAGTTTTTAACTAAATTAAACACTGATCAGTGAATTCTATCTTGGTAAGTTGACTAATTTATACATATAACAATAGATTTTAAAAATTTGTATCCAAAATATGAAATTTCACAACTCCATACTAAAACTTGCCTTGAAAACTAAGGTTTTCTTAGTGTGTCTCTCCATATAATGTTAGTCTTGAGCATAAATAAAATAAATTATTCGATAGAGAGAATGGGGAACACTCCATCATACTTGTTTGTAAGAGGGGCATTGAAAGGGCAATTATTTGAGTTGAGACGATAACTGAATGGGAACACTGACCTCCTGCTGAACAGATGGAAGACAAACAGCTTAGAATTTACTGCATTTATAAAGCTGGATATATTTTCACTTCATCTAATAATTAATGATCAATTTTTGACAATGTCTCAGTATGTGACTTTGACAAGTGAAAACAAAAATAATTATTATATCAGTCAAAAATTTTCAATAGCGTTGAGGAGTATGGCCCGTTATTTCTTTGGAAAAAATATAATGATTATATGTTACTTACATTTTTTCAAAATGATTTTTATATGTATTAGATTTATGCCTGTCTCCAAAGCAGAGTAGAAAATGCTGGAAACATATTTCTTAATTCATCATTGTGCTATGAAGTACCTCTTGCTCTTGTGCACTACACCTTTCAGTGATCTTTACCATCAAATACTATAGTATCAGACAAGCATACTCAACAGAAAGAACATTATAACAATATGATTTCTTTAGTAAAAGTTAATATTTTTTTTAACCAGGTGACAGAAACACGGACGGGTCCTCTTGGCTGCAGTAACTATGACAACCTAGATTCTGTCAGCTCTGTTCTGGTTCAGAGTCCTGAGAATAAAATTCAGTTGCAAGGTATGTTGGTAAATTTTCATGAATTCTTTATGAATCTAGATGATATGTTATCCAGTTATAATTTCTTTTGGATTTATGGAAATAAGCCAGTTGGTATTGGGGAGATGATTTAAATGTACTTAGTCCTTTCCCAGAGGATCTGAGTCGAGTTCCTAATCCTCACATACAGATGCTCATCATCCTTTGGATCTCAGGACCCAAGGGATCTGAAACTCCTAGCCTTTTTAGACACCTACACACACACACACACTCACACACACATATACACACACACAAACACACTACACACACACAACACATGCACTCACACACACACACACACACATTACATATGGTTAAAAATAATAACAAATCTGTTTTTTTGTAGTGGATATTTTTATTTACAATACAGTTGTCATCCCCTTTCCCCGTTTCCCCTCCCTAGGACCTCCTATCCTATACCCCATCTTCCTTTATGCTTTTATTCCATTTTGATTACATGCATGTATTAAGGTCAGTTCTCGGCTGAGATTCTAGCAATAAAATAGATACAAATAATTGAGGAACAAGCAATACAATAAACACAAATAATTAAAGAAAAAAGCAAGACATATGAACACTCTCATGATCACTGTTTCTAAAGGCATATCAGGATGATCAAAGTATCTGAGCCTACTTCCCTGTCCTAGCCCAAGGTCATTTTCATGTCTGAAGCCTACTTCCTTGTTCTAGCCGGAAAATTTAGATTCCTGTCTGAAATTACTTCTTCGTTCTAGCCCAATATTTCGATTCCTGCCTGAAACTACTTCTTTGTTGTAGCCAAGGACAAGGAAGTAGGCTTCATGCAGGAATCTGACATTAGACTAGGACAAATCCTAAAAAAGTGTCAGCATATATGTGTTAGGTTTTCAAAGTTATTGACAATATGATCTAGATTATGTGAAGAAATATCAACTTATTTTATTCACAAATTAAGTAATAATTATTAATTATTAATAATTATATTAATTATTAATTATATGGAGAATAGTTTTATTCTAAGTGCCAATCACTGTTCTCTAATGTGTCATATGTTCACTGTATATGCTTGCATTGTCCATGTCTTTTTCTTATTAATTTTTGTAACTTTTATTATTATTTCTATTCATTCTATAAAATATGACAGGAAGTTTAAATTTAACTAAATACAGCAGACCATGACGTCTTAGTTCCCTAGTGCATAGAGGTATAGAGGATGTTATATCAAATTTCGTGTATTCTCATTATTTAATTTTAGGTTTATTTGTGATGGTTGGCAAAGTTTATCCTTTTATTCAATAGCATTCTAAGATGATTAAATTTAGGATGTTTTGCTAAAGACCCTGGCAATTTTGTGTTTGTGTATTGTATTGTATGTGTTGTGTGTGTATGTTGTATGTATTTATGTGATCTCAAAAATAGACATAAGAATATGTAGTCTTTCATTCTTTAAAGCAAGAGACAGTGCAAGTGACTGGAGATGACTCAGTGGTTAAGCATAATCGCTGTTCCTGTGGAAGATAGGATTTGATTACCCGCATCCGTTTAGAAACTCATAACTGTCTGTGATTCTAGTTTCAAAGGATTTGATGTCCCCTTCTGACAATGATAGGCTACTTCATGCAGAAGATGTACACACACATTCAGCCATACATCCACAATCATAAATAAATAAAATAGGTAAATATTTTCTAAAAGAAAAACAGCAAAAATGCACACTAACTTAAGTATGATTTGGAGTGGCCTGACAGTCTTAATGAAGAATTGTGTTGTTCAAAATGGGAAATTACTAGGCAGAGTTAATTTTGCATCATTGCTTCTTCATTTCCTTTCATAATTTTATAAATTAGATCTGTGTTTTGTTTTATATAAAATCATTTAGAAGCTACAGTCTAGTTTCCAATTCTATAAGTGTAAAAACAAAATGTATCCATAGTAGCTTAGGTTCAAAGAATACTGAATGTTTAATAATTACTGTTTACTTCAAATAGTATAAAATATTTAAATACTATAAATTAGATAAAATTAATTATTTATTTGAGGTTTTAAGTTACTGGAATATTTTTGTTACTTAGAATAGAAAAGATAGTGCTAACACCACTGTTAGTTCTACAGGAAGTATTTTATTTAATGTGATATTAAGTTTTTCATCAGCATATTACCTTTGATTAAAATATACAATAACTCTAGAAAAATGAACTCTTTTATTTAACTATCTAGAGGAATTTTATCACTTATCAATAAAATTCTGATTTTATCATCTGTGAATGATTATACAATTTAACACTTTAAACAGAGGTTCTGTGAGCAGAGACATTTGACTCTAAACGTGAAAACAGAGTTTGGTTTCTGGTCACCAAGTGATGGAGAGAGAGAGCAAAATCCCAAAGGTTGTCTAAATACACATACACACACACACTTGAGGAAATGAACTCATTTTTTTTTGAAAAAAAATGTTAGCTGCCTATATTGCAAAACATAATAAACTGAATCAATACTGAATATTTTAACTTTTATACTTTTTCAGTTCATATAAGCCACAGAAATCCCAGTATGACTTTCACATATTTTCTATCTTCAAGGGCTCTATTTTCAATAGTCTCTTTCAGCTTTATCTGCACATTCAAAGGTAAAATCACTTTTAAGATAGCCTTAGAAAATTAGCCTGGAGACTGTCTTTCCTCTCTTTATGACTTCATGTCAGTTTGTAATGACAGTGCAATTTTCATTTTGCCTCATCCTTCTGGCCTCCTTACACCCGTATCCCATCACCTCTCTGCATTAAAGGTATTATTGTCTACTCCTTCTTCTGCCAACTGCTTTTCTTTCTTTCCCCTTCCTGTGCATCTATTAAAATCCTGGATAAACTATTTCACCTCAAGTCGCAAATTAGAAACAATGTTTTTGCCAAAGAATATCTTCCTGAGTGTCTGTGTCATGATGTCTTTTTGTCTTTCCGCAATTTTTTAGGTAGGTGTTTCAGTAGATCTGTACAGACACACGTGCATGCTGGTTATAGGTATATGGAAGAGAGTATGTTTCATTTCCATTGTATTTAAGGAGGACTGAAGCTTCAACTGAAATGATTCACCTTTGGTGGAATTTGTATGTATTAGTTAGAAAAACAAAAATACAGATACTTTTTTTTTCCTAAAAGTCCATCTTACACACATTTACTCTTGTGGAAAAGAAAAAGTTGTTCCCAAGGTATAATTTTATTATTGAAATTAATAAAAACACTGTTATGGAAAAGAATCATAAAACTCTCATGACTTATACATGTGTAAAAAATGGTTAATTATTATTTACATTTGTACTAAACTTATCACAATAACATTAAATACTTTTGTGTCAGTCCTAACACATATAAAAGATAGAGAGGTTCTTCAGTGGTTAGAAACACTTGGTAAACTTTTAGAGCACCGAGGTTCAGTAGACAACATCCACAATGAGCGTCTCAGAGTTGATTGTATCCTGATCCTAATGATTACACCACCTATTTCTGGCCACTAAAGGGACAGCAAGCCCATTACAGAAATATATGACCTGAATTATGTAAGCACATACCTATGAAATAATTAAATAATTAAAAATAATATATTGATGATACATAGAAATAAATATTTTAATATAAATAAATTAAAGGAAATATCTCAATTTATACCCTTTCTTGAATCTGTAGACTTGCATTGCCTGTAAAGATACTGATCAGATAATTTGAAAAAATATAGAAGCCAAACATGTAAATCTAAATTCACAAAAGTTCAGTACTTACGTATTTGATTACAGTTATAAGATACATGCTGTAGTTAATATTGTGGGTGTTCCATATCAAATCATGCACTCTATATAAACAGACAAAAAGAGAAAACAAAAGAACCTTATGGTTAGGGAATGAAGTTCATGGAAAGGTTTTTAAAATTAAATAGAATTTCTATAAGCAATTTACATTTGATTTGAAAATCACTTGAAAATCATTTGAAATAAGCTTAATTATGTGAAATTACTCATGAATAGTTCTTATGAGAGTCTATACTCAAAATATTTTTTGTTTAAAGATTTTCATTCTAAAGTTATTACATTATAATTATAATGTAGTATAACATATAATAATGTTGACAATATAGTACAGTAGGTAAATTAAATTATTTGCTAAAATTTCTATTTTAGGTAGTTTTAATAGAGGAGTACATATAATTAATAAAAGTATAATGTAATTAATAAAAATATAATTAAATAAAATATTTTTGGATACTGAGATACGAAATAGAATTATGATTTCAAGGATGTGTGTGGGTATATAAACGTGTGTGTGTGTGTGTGTGTGTGTGTGTGTGTGCATGTGTGTATGTATGTGTAAAACCACACACAGACTGGTCATGTCTTTTATATGATGGTATGTATGTCTTAACTATCTTTCTGTTCTTTTTCCTTCACATTTTAAAATTTAGTTTAGTATTTCATTACATGTACTATATTCACATAATTTTATGCTACTCTCCTCATTGCTTCATCTCAAACTCACTGCCATTTTCTTTAATTATTATTATATATTTATATGATTGCATAGGTATATAAATACAACCTGCTAAGTTGTTGTAATGGTGTGTGTGTGTGTGTATGTGTGTGTGTGTGTGTGTGTGTGTGTATGATTTTACTGCTTGGTTCTGTGTATGTATCAGGTAGCTAAATTCTGCTGAATACTGATTCGTTCTTTTTCAGTAGCCATAAAATTGCAACTCTTCATCTAGGGTCATGTTGGGTTTTCCACCATCTGTATTCCAGGCAGTGTGAGTTTTTTTTTTTTTTTTTTTGAGGTTTTTTTTTAGACAACCTTATTGTTGAGAATTCATCTGTTCAGGTTTCCTGTCATAAACAGGAGACACTATCAGTAGACTTTCTGTATATCTGGCTCTCGTAAGTTTTCTAATGTGCCTAATATCAGTTGTTCTTTTCATTTTGAAAAGTTGTGATTTCAGAAAGGTTTTCTGTTTTTTACTAAAGGAAGTTTCTTTGAAGAAGACTGAAAACTACAGTTACCTGTGGGCATAAGGATAGCTATTCAGACTGATATTATATGTTATACTGATTTAGGAAAGCAACAATGGTATATTCTCCTCTAGGTTCTATGATGTCACAGGCCGTGGAGTAGTTGCTGAGGTTTTCAGTAGCAATCATGAGGAGACCTTAAGCCCAGCTCTCTGTTTGTTCAAAGTGGGTCTACTGAGTCTTTGTGGATCTCTTTGTCATTCTGTCATTGTATTTCTTAGGTGATGTAGAGAGATAGGGCAATCGATGTCTTTCTTTTCCTTGCAGCTGACATGTCTTTCAGATAATATTTTAAAAGATATATTGGGTTTAATTGATAGATGAAAGGAATTTTCTAGGTCAACTTAAAGGTAGTATTTCCTTTTTTCAAATATATAATAACTACTACCCTCTGATATGTTTCATAATGTTAAAACACATATTTTTCTCTATATATTCTCCTTCCAAGAAATAACATCAGAGTACTCCAAACTAATAAATGTCACTTAAATGTAGATGATTTAATTACATAGATCTCTTTCTCATATAGAAATATAATTAACCTGACTCCAAGTTTATGTTTCTTGCTCTGTCTTATTACTGTCCATGCATAAAGAAAAAACCATGTGAATACTTTGAATCTCTCATTGCTTTATGTGTGATTTATTATGGTCACCCTATAACATGAAAATTAAACTTCAGAAAGTTGAAAACAAGTGGTGTGTCACATAAATGGTCAGATGCTGTCTTTAGTGATCTGTTTGCTGTTCCCCTAGGGCTAATATAAATATTTATCCAATTAATACTATACAGTGAATTATATTTTATTATATTACTACAGTAATTTTATAGTTGTTAAATATGCTGCCCATGATAGAAGAGTATCATGTGAGTCATTTTCACATTCTTAGTATTTCAGGCAATAATCTTTCAAATAAGCTTTCCAATAAATATTTCTATTTAAATTAAAAATGATGAAAATATGACTCCAAATAAGTAAATGTGTAGAATTCATTTACTGGCAAATACATGGAATTATTATTTAACTGATATAGAGACATGGGTGCAATTCTCAATATCTTTGTGAAGGTCATTTTCTCCTGAATATTAATGCTTAATTTAAAAAAATTTGTTCATAGGTAAATGTCCAGGTGAAAATAGTGAATAGATTTTATCATGTAAGAATTGTAAATACTATCGAAACTTCATTGATAAAAAAAAACTACTTACTGTTGGTGCAATTTTCCAAATGTTTATATTTACTTTTCCCAAATGTTTCCTTCTGTCTTGATTTTTCTTACTTTTTTGTATAAGTGCATGTTGTATACATGGGTTTGTGTAGGCATAATCATCTGTATGTGGCTACACGTGTACCCTAATGTTTTTGAAGATGTGTGAACATGTTTGTGGCGACATTCCTTTCAAGCATTTTAGTTAATAATCATTTTTCTTAGGCCTGTTATACTTCCATCTTTCCTTCCTACCTTCTTTGCTTCCTTCTTTCTTTTCTTCCATCTTTCCTTCATTTCTTTATCCCTCCCTTCCTATCTTCTTCCTTCCTTCCTTCCTTCCTTCCTTCCTTTCTTCCTTCCTTCCTCCCGTCCTTCCTCTCTCTTCTCTCCTCTTCTCTTCTCTTCTCTTCTCTTCTCTTCTCTTCTCTTCTCTTCTCTTCTCTTCTCTTCTCTTCTCTTCTCTCTCTCTCTCTCTCTCTCTCTCTCTCTCTCTCTCTCTCTCTCTTTCTCTCTCTCTCTCTCTCTTTCTCTCTCTCTTCCTGTAATTTTTTTTCTTTTTATTTTTTTTCTTTCTAGGTCATAAGTAACTCTGTCATGTTATATAATTTAAGATAGCCTATAATGCTATGTATCCTAGCCTTTGCCTCTCAGTTGCTGAGGTGACATGCATGTGTCATCAGGTGAGGCTTGGTTAGAATATCATCCTTTTTTAAAATATATTATATGTACCCACAGATTATGAAATTGAAACTATGGTTTTCTCAAAATATAATAAATAAAGGGTTTCAAATATTAGGCTTAATGTTTATTTCAGATAACAATTTCCTAAATAGTAACTACAAAACTGGTATCTAAAAAATTAATGACCTGTATTAGCAAGGATGACATGTGCACAACAAAGAAATGGACTGTGAAGAAACTATGTCAGGCCATCTGCTCCTCTCCTCTCAGTCTTTGTCCTTTCTCCTAAACAATAGAATCATATAAGATAGTCTTCTTTGTGTCATGTGTTAAGGTCTGCTATCCTATCTTTGACCCAACTCTTAAAACACAACTAATATTATTTTTTATAGTTTTAGCAGAGTGGTAGTCTAAATGTAAAAATGAAGGTATTAACATCAAGAGCCAGTTATGAGTAAGCATGAATCTTCAAATACATAGGTTTGGAATAAACTTTGTGAAACATTGTCAAATGCCCTAATGAATTACATCAAAGATCCATAATATCAGTTTATAAAGAGTAGAATACTAATCAGTAGAGTAAAATTTGAGATTCTATATTCCTGTAGCATTTAGGTATTGAAATTGTATAGGCAGATAGCCTACAATTTTTCTAATGCTAGCGTTTAAGTAGAGATATATTCATAGGTTAAAATACTAACAATTACCATCTCTACCCAGGGTGTTGTAAACAAGTACTTTCTGACTATGTTTGAGGCCACAAACTTGATTACTTCATTTGTCTTTCAAGGGCTTCAAGTTCTCCTTCCCGACTACCTTCAGGAACGTTTTGTACAGGCAGCATTGAGCTACATTGCTTGTAATTCTGAGGGGGAGTTTATCTGCAAGGATAATGACTGCTGGTGCCACTGTGGTCCAAAATTCCCAGAATGCAATTGCCCCTCCATGGACATTCAAGCCATGGAAGAGAATCTTCTTCGAATAACTGAAACATGGAAAGCTTACAACAGCGACTTTGAAGATTCAGGTAAGACAGACATTTTACTTCCTTAAACTTTATCTTGGCCCCAAAATCTGGGGAAAGAACTGATTGCTCCTGTTGAAACCATGTTTTATTTCAAGGTTGGAAAGTTTTTCGTTTTTATCAATCTTTCAAGTGGATATTTATACTGCATTTGTTACTGCTTGATAAGTGATTTACTAAGGGTATTGTTGTTTTATGAATTGCTTATATGCTATTGGTATTGGAGTACAACTTGTTCTTGATTTGAAGTTAACCACACATGAAGAAATTGTACTGTCATTTTAATATATGGGATTGTCTTCTAATGTTTTTCGGGTTTCTCTGCAATTTCTGAGAGCTCTTGAGTTTTACTTGTAATGAAAAAGGTGTCAAGGTGTGCTCTGTGCCTTCATAGTCTCGTGATTTTAATGATGATTCACCATAAGTTGACCACATTTTTAATAAAACTAGAGCCATTTTATGTTAATGGTCTGAAGATTTTCCATTATTTATTGATTATTTAGGGATGTATTAAACATTGTTTTCAAACTGCTTCTTATTATCTGTATAACTTATAACCATGTGTATCTGCTTTGAGAATATACAATTTTAAAAATGCTGACCTTAAAATAATGGAAGATAAAAATATTCTTCAAATGACTGTAACAATGTTTAAAAGATAGTATACAATAATGTATAATGAAGCAAGAAATAATAAATCTAATGTATTACAAAAGGTATAATTTAGTCAAAGTGTGCTAAGCATGCATGATCCTCAAGCAAGCGAAGTGAAGCATGACATTATACACAACAACAATAAGTAGAACTGGAGAGAATCAATACTCTATGGATTATTTTTTTCAAAATAATGAATAGAAACAGAGAATGGACATTGTGTTTTAAGGGAATAGTTGTTTTCTAACACAACATTTCAGCTAGGTAAGAAGAATAAGATTGAGAGTTACTCCATAGTTTGTAACTATAGAAATAGAAATATATTGTATATTTGAAAAATTTCTGAATGAAAATCTTACTATTATCAACAAAAGCCTTATTTATTGTGGGGCTTAATGGATACTTTATTTAGCTTGATTTAGTTATTCCACATTATTTTTGTATATCTTAACATTAAATTGTATATCATAATTATAACTTATTAAATTTGTAGTAAAATATCATTGAAAAAATAGCAAAGTTGTGTTAGAAGGATAGACTTGACAAGAATGAAGGTAAGGATGGAAATGCTAGAGAAAGAATGATGAATGAACACTCTGACTTTCTGCAAGTGCTTTTCCTTGGGGCACATTTATCAACTCATGGCAGATTTCAAACCTGAGAACCTTCCTAGCCCTTGGAAAATGTTTCTGCCTCAGGCAAGTAACCTGAACAACGGTCTGCAGCCCAATTAGGTTGTAATTATTACATTAAGAGTGCATACTAGGCAGTAAGCCTTTATATTCTTTGCCTTAATTTCAATCTAGATGTGAAAGCTGATGGTAAGATAGTTAAACTAATAAAGCATGAATTAGTTTAATGGAATCTTATACACTGGAATGCAACAATCCCAAATACAAGATTTGAAATTAAATGAGGTATAAGGCTATTTCAGGACAGGTATGAAGCAAAGCATGATTACAACTTTGAATTTGGATTTAGAGATTTTAACATGATCAGCTCTTATAGTAACTGTTGAAAGTAGGACATATTAAATAATGAAATGGTGGCCTATTGAAGATGAAAATAATTTCTAAAACAGTTATGAGGACATAATATTTCACAGTACTTTCTTGACTGAACAAAATATTATGCACAATACTAAAAAATATCAACACATAGATGCCAGATTCGCAAAGACACAGACACACACACATACAAACACATACACACACATACAAACACATACACACACATATACACACACACACACCACACATGCACACTACACATCTCTCATAATGTACCTTTACTTCTCAGTTCTCTTCACTGTTCTACTGGGCTAAATCACTGTCTTTCTATTCTAATTCCGTGATTTATTGCTTATTTCAGATTCTATTACATTTTTAAGTTACATAAGCAGTACACTTCCTTCTCTTTGCTCAAATTACGTTAGTTATTTGGCATGAAATTGTGTGTGTGTGCGTGTGTGTGCGTGTGTGTCTGTGTGTCTGTGTGTCTGTGTGTGTGTGTATTACAGACTTTACCCACAAAATCTTAAGAATATGGCTGTCTAAACTAGACCTACAATATGACAACACTACTTGACCCTCCAACATGGATGGGGGAAATCTTATAAGGCTGCATCCTTTGATCGTAAGCAATAGGCAGATAATGGCTATTATTAAAATGAGAGGATTAGTATTTTCAAGGTACAAACCTCCCACTGGTCATCCAATCCCAAATATTTATATGGAGGTCCTAATAATATTAATTAAATATGAATATGTCATTAATTAGAAAGTGATTAGTGCCAGAATCAGGAGCTGGAAGCAAAGAGTAGAATGGAAATTGTTTAAATAATGAAATACTCATTAATGAAAGTATAAAAGTATGTAAAAGAAAATAGGTCATGACAATCTGTGATAATCTTAGTTAATTTTTTCTAGTTCTTGTATGTCCTTTTTTCTCTCTTGCCTTGTTATGTTAAGTGGGTCTTGTGGTGCCACATTGAATGGAAGCAGTAAAACAGTAGAATTGAAAATATTTGCCTTAATCCAGACCTGAACCTGAAACCCATGCATGTTTCCTCAAATTTTGAATATTGAAAGTAATATAAAGCTACAAAACTCTTAGAAACCATCATTGGAGATGAGATTAATCACAGTCAATTAAAGATATGTTTTAACAATACCATAAAGCACAGAAAATTAAAACAAATATCAACAAATATTATTAAAGCATAATGAACAAGTTCTATACTGTAAATAATGAATGAACATTAAAGATTATTCTGAGGAATGGAAGAAAATTTTAGACAATGATCAGGAAAGGTTATAATATTTATAATATAAGGAACTTTAGAAGCTAAAAGCAGAAATTGAAAGAAATGGACCTAAATCTTTTTTTTTAAGGAAAAAAAATATGACATATAAATGGACAGAAATATATTTTTTTAAATGCTGAAATTTTCTAATCATGAAGGCAATGAAAACTAATGAATGAAGACAGTATTTTACTCAGTAAGAATAGCTGTGGTCATCCAGTTAGAAAAAGGAACTGCCAACACTATGCAGTGAACATTTGCATACAATGAGGATATGAAATAGGAACCCTAAAACAGAAGGGAATTTGGCAGTTCATTCAGAGCTTAAAAGTGAATGCTCCTCATAGTTTAGCAACCAACAGAGTCCTACTACGCTATATCAAATAATGAAATTCTATAGGTTTCCACACATGTGTAAACTGAGATCATTATGTTTTAAGAAATAACTGAGGCACAGAAAGACAACTTCTATATTATTCTATTCACAAGTAAAATTTAGACATGAATTTCAGTAAGCGAAAGGAATAGATAGCAGACAGAACAAGAAATCTTTCCCAGAATATGGTAGAAGTTCTGGTTTGCTACTGTTTAACACTGTCATAATAGATTGTAGACAAAGGAGTTATAAAATTTTCATCAAAAAGCACTAGTACAATAGAGACAACAATGATCTGGATATTATGCAGTGCACATGTGTCCTGATATGAAAAATCACACTTTATGTGCCAGTTAAAATATTCTTAACAGATGGAAGAAAACCAGACTTCGAAAATTGATAATTGTAAATACTGAAATGCACAGCTAAACTCTTTCTGCTTACCATCAGGACATTGTCTGAATAAAGTAAAGGGAAGAAGCAAAAAGATAAACATAGCAGAATGTTCATTAGATATTTAGACTCAAAATTTGGGAAAGGAAAATGTATAAAACATCATAATGTGATGTTAGAAAGTAATAAGCAAGTTGTTGTTGTTAAAGCAACTTTATCCTATATAAAGGCATAATCAGTCAACCAAATTACAAGTTAGTAAAAACATAAAGATATGAAATCAGTGATGACTGGAATAGAGAATAGGAAGCAGGCACTTGACAAGCATGTTTGGAGTATGTTGGTGTACAGCGATAGCTGAGTAGCACTGATCATGGTCACAATGGACAGAGTGTCTAAAGATGTTATGTATAGTGCTCATGTAATGTAGGAACTAGAAGACAGGGAGAGGAACAGCGAGAGACTCCCTTCAGATCATGACAGACCCATAATGATCATGAACTCACAACAGCTAGAATTACCTGCATGAGTGAGAGTCTCACAAGGCCATACCTAAACTCACCTGAACCATTATTCTCCTGGTATCTTTTGATGAAGAGACCGCTGTTGTCTTAGTTTGTATGGCCACAGGTCATTCTGTCAGGCCTTAAGACTACATTCAAAACCTATGGCCATGTAGACTTCCTCAGGTTAGCATATTAGACAACAAGAAGAAAGACAGAAACAGGAATGTGAAGAATAGGCAAAGTGGTTAATATGGGTTGTGAGAGGTAGGCAAAAGATATCCAGAATGTATCATGTTGATGTATGAAGTTGCAGGAGGAATTTGATAAACACTTTAAAAGCAATTCCCTACTCAACCATTTAAAAACTATGCTTCTATATCTTAGTGCTGTTTCTCCAACTACCAGAGAAATTAAACAATCAAATGCATTAGTGTAAAGGCATGGCAGTTACAATTATTTTGTTTTATGGCTTCTAAGACTTAAAGATACAAGACATAAGAATTTGTCATGCTTACCTTGATGACAGAAATTCAAATCCTTTTATACTTTATATAAAGAGAAAAAATCTAAACCAAAGGGGAAAAAAAAGGACACATTGTAGTTTTCTTTTAAATGGTTGATTCTATTTAACTTGAAAAATAAAACAAATGATGGTAATTAACAGGCTAAAATATTTTTTCATTGAAACTAAGATATATCAGTGTGTAATTCTTTAATTAGGAGGATAATTATCTGAATTTAGATGTGTTTTTCTCAGGTACGAATAGCA